GCTTCATTAAAAATTACTGCATATAAAATAGTTAAGAAACAAATTGTGACTATATCATTTTAATTTTATGAGCTTCAAGCAGAGTCATAGGAATATTGAAAATTTTAAACCCTTTGTAAACATTGTAATTGCTATTGTCATTATTTCCTATTTCTATTTCTCATTAAAGAGACATTTTAAAATCCAAAATTAATTCTTTTATGTATTAAGTTTCTAATAAATTATTGAATCCTGAAATATCTTTTGTTGCTGAAATATCTATAGCCTTTGAAAAAAGACAGTAAATACATGTATAGAATGAACTCCCTTGTGCACATTTTCATGTGCTTTGTGTTTCATTAATTCAATGTTACTCACTTATGTTCAAAATATATTTCTTGATTTTCTACAGTCATTTTTTTTTACTTTTTAAAAACTTATTCTATGTGTCTTTTACATCATTTATCTTTATCCCATTCATTTCCCCATCTCTTCTCATCTGCCCTCCACCCCTGCACTCCCCCTTCCCCAAATAAAAGAAAAGTTAAGAGAAAAAAGAAAAAAAAAAGGAGAAAAAACAAACAAACAAAAAAGAGAAAAAATTAAAAATCTCATCATGGAAGCTCAGTATGACACAGTGAGTCACGTAGTAAACCCTCTTTTCCATATATCTTTACTTGCAGGTGTTTGTTGCAAAGAGTCATTGGTCTTGTTCGAGGCCTCTGGTTCTACTACACCATACTACACCATCGATGCTGGGCCCTCACTGAGACTCTTCTTGGATATCCTGTTGTTGCCCTGTGTTGTGAAGATCCTGCAGCTTTGAGTCAAAACCACGATGGTTATAAATAAAGTCTTATCTCAATTTTCTAAACTCTATACACATGTTGATGCAAAAATATTTATTTTTTTATAGTAACGTAAGCACTGATATTTGGCTATAATCTGGTGATCTGGGACATTTGAGGCCCTGCTAAAATTTTTAAAATAGAGTTTGTCAGTGTTTCTATAATTTTTACATTTAATTCAACTGAATAGGACCCATTTGGGAATAAAAAACAAATATTCAAAATTCTAATTAAGGAAGTCAACATTTTCTAAGAACTTGCACAATACTTATATACAATGTGATGCTTTTATAACAATCTCATAACAAATGTGTATATTTCAAATGGTATAACAATAATTTGGTCATAAAATATTCTTGTTCATATATAATACAGTGTGAGTAATTTTATTAGAATAACTATGAAGCTGAGTAATTACAGGCTTTATACTCTACTTTTGACTCTGGGGCTTGAGGGTGTTTTGTTGGTGGATCAATTTTGATGAATTTCAATGACAATTAGTCACACAGCGCTGTACTCAATCTCCAGCATAAATATGATTTCACTTAGGGCTGCATGTGGATCTGCTATCTATAATGTTGGCACTCCTCAGGTAAAGCCTTGGAGTGCTAATGATGAGATGTGTCTTAAAGGAAACAAAGCTTTAAGATAAGCCAGCCAGGTAAGGCAAAGATGGCCTTTAGGATGATGGCAACCTTAAAATGCTTGAAGAAAAAGAGAAAGCCATGGTTCATTATATTCGGCACTTGGTTAGTCTAAACACGAAGAGTGTTTAACTAGTTACAAACCTTGAAGGGGTGTTGGCAATGTCGACATCTGTACTAGGAATGACTGAAAGATTGCCTCTGTTTAGCATAGTTCAGGAAGCTGTGACACTAGGAAAGTTGAAGAAGACACACACACACACACACACACACACACACACACACCTTTAAATATTATGAAGGCCAGTAAAAAAGAAAATTTCACATCTGAGTCTATTAAATATGGAAAAAATAAAGTACTGAGGTTCACGTTCCTGAACGCATTCAAGAAAGGGATGAAAGAAAGGTTCTGATGCTCCTGGCTCTGCCTCCCAAGTGCTGAGAGTAAAGGCGTGCGCCACTACCACTAACGCTGTTCGAGATCCAGGAGAGGCACCAACACTACACAGAGAAACCCTGCCTCGGTTCTGAAGAAGATGCTTGGGCATACATTTCTGTTCTAAGTTGGACTTTGTCTGGAATACCTTCAAAGATCCTCTGGGGCTCCAGATCCGCACTGCCCTAACAGTTGCATCTGAATAGTAGTGCTGGGCTTCCTACACTAGAAGGAAAGCCCTAAGGGTACAAATGTCTAGGGTTCCTGGCGTCTAGGAGTGCTCTGGGGACACCACAGGTCCTGGGTGACTGCAGGCAGATAGAGCGATTTCTACTCAGTGGATGCTGATGGCAAATGGAGACAAGAATTACTTGCATTTTAAACTTTCCAAAATTGGGGAAGAAAATATAAAGGCTGAAATGGCTTACATGACTATAAAAGTAAATTTACCTATTTATACATTTATTATTAATTTGCATTTTATTCACAGAATCTTTATAATCTGTTAGTATTTTCAATTCTTCCTTTTAAAGTAATATTCAAAATTTAATACATATTTGACAAGTATTGAACGTGAAAATGTGTTTTTTTGTGCATTGCAATAGATGAAAGAAGGTAGCATGGGCTAAATAAAACACAAATTAATCCCAATGTGCAGAGTAGAAATGAGGAAGAAAGGGTTCAGGGAAAGAAAAACAATACACAAGTGAAAGAAAGAAGAGAGAAAATGAGCTAATATTTGCTTTATTGGATGAATCATCTAGTTTCTGTTCCTCTCTAGAGCGTGGCTGTTGTGTGTTATATTCTCCACACCAACCCCAATAAAGCAACAGAGGCTTAGGAAGCTAAGTGGACTGTTAAAGAGCACAAACCTGAAAATGCTGGATCCAGAGTTCAACCGAAGATATGAAAAGTAAAATGTAAATTACAAAAGTGTGGGGCCTGCTTTGATTTTATTTATTTTAGTGCTAAAGAGACAGAGTTTAGAATTTCGCTTGGTAAAAAGTGGATGGTTAAAATACACAAGTGGCCGGACGGTGGTGGCGCACGCCTTTAATCCCAACACTCGGGAGGCAGAGGCAGGCGGATCTTTGTGAGTTTGAGGCCAACCTGGTCTACAGAGCGAGATCCAGGAACGGCGTAAAGCTACACAGAGAAACCCTGTCTCGAAAAACAAAAACAAAAACAAATAAAATACACAAGTGAGTAAAGAAACAGACATTTGAGCCCTGGCCCTGTACAGCACAGCCTTTGCGGGGTCTGTTCACTAAATGCCAGTGAATGCAGGACAGTGAACCTTGACTTGGAAAATAAAAGGACAGGATGAAAAATTTATCAAAGAATAATAGACCAATTGGGTTCATCACACAAATTAGAGAATAAATTTGTAATAGCCATTTCATATTGGAGATAGTGTCACCCGGAATTAGGCTTGCACCAGTAAAAATGAGGTGGGTGGGAAGGCGAGTGCGATTTTGGACACATTCTGCAGGTGGAAACTCTGATGTCTCCTGATGACTACAGGGAGCAAGGTGGGGTGGAGGGGATCTAACCACAGCTTCATGTGTCAGGAGGGTAAAGAGCTTGGTAAGAATGAGCATTCCCTGAGAACAAGCATGGTGAAGAGGCTCTTTAAATAGGAAACCATTGAGACAAGCTTGAGTTTTCTGTATGTCATCCGTAATATCCAACATTGTGCTATGCGTGTGGAGCTAGAGGGAAATGTGGGTTAAAGTGAGAGTGAGAACCAGAAGATATTCAAACGCCAAGGAAAACACCAACACTGTGCAATTGAAGTGGAAAAAAGTACAAAAAGCACTAGAGTTCCATTTATATGTATTCATACAATACTGTGGACAGAGACAATTTTTCTAAATAAAGCTAGTTCTTTATGATACACAGAGGAAAATATGTATTTTGCTATATATAAATTAAAAAGTAAACATTTTGAATGGTGGAAGATTCCCAAGCAAATCAATAGACTGGGGAAATATTTGCAACACAGCCAACAGAAAAAAGACTAACAGTTTTCATAAACAAATCAATACAAATGTACAAACTGATTAAAAAGCTATGAAAACTGGTGTTGGTAAAGGAGAATGGGAGTGATGACTGTGGTAATTTTTCTTTATGACTTTATCCTTTATTTATAGCCCCACCAGTGCTGTTTACAGGTGGTTTTTCAGGTTGCTTGGCAAAACTTTAAGGAAACTTTTTCATGTTTGATAAAATATGAATGAAAATATGAATGTAACATTTCGTATAACTTCATCGTGGCTAATACCCTCCAAGATTTATCCTAAACTATTTGTTTTTCTTTTCCTTCGTGCCTAATCAAGCCAAGCTATTAACCCTTTCCTGCCTGCACAGGGAGAATGTTCTCAGGTTTTTTTCTGGCCACTTCTAGTCTTGCTTCTACTCCATCAATTTCCCAGGTATTTGAAAAGAACTTTCAAAAGTCTAAGTCGAGGATAGCTTTCTTTTAGCATTAAAAGAATAATCCACACCCCTTATCTTGGCTCAGAATATGGACTAGGGATTGCCTTGAAACCCTATATAATTATTTAAAGTGCCCCTATCCTTTTCAGATGTATCTCAGCCTGGGTATCATATAAGAGGGTTACCCTAATTCTGAATGTCATGTTATTTAGGGGAAATATCTCCCATCATGTTTCTAGTCGAAAAGCACTTGTTTATGAGTCTTTGTCAGAGCATATGTTTGCTTTCTCT